AATGTGGGATGCATATATGACACACCAAATACTTTCAATCCCTCAACAAGAGGACTCCGCATATATTTGGCAATTCCATCGAAATTAATTGATGACAATCATGACATCGTGTGCTGAATATCTTAGTATCAACATATTTCTTGATGGTAAATCTATCGCCATCATTTATGTATATAATCCAGATGATAGTGAGGTGGTACCTATACCTCCTGACTGCATGATAAATAGTGATATTGTCTTATTATGTGAGGATTTTAATGGACCCCAGGCTCCAGGAGGAGGTCCTGGCAATGGATTCTTGAAAGTGTATTTCCTCGACTGACTGTAGGGTAAGTTAGGGTAAACATGAGAACATTATGGAGTACTTAGATTAGTGGCTTTATTTTCCTGATTGCATGTAGAATATCTATCCGGACCTCTGCATATATATTAGTACTTGTCTTGCTCATGATAGTTGAGTAGCCCTGATATGATATTCGCCATCCTCCTCGTAGTACACCCCACTTGCAATCTGATGTGACGCCTCCACTGATCCTCGTGGAGCAGCAATGATTGGTGTACTAACTCCTGATATAGATCTTGAAGAGAGAGTGTGTATTTCCAAACAAGCACAACTGATATTGAGTCAGTAGCCATAAGTCATGCCATTATAAAGGGTAGTGAACAGCAGCGTTGTCTTTGGTAACAGCCAGGGTGCACTCCATAGGCTTACTGTAATCCATCCAGAAAACATGGTAGCTAGAAAGATCCTTTCCGAAATTTCTAGACTATCAAAACTGGGTATTGAAGAAGTGTCATTGTATTGGAGACACTCATATAGGAATATCATGCTGTGACAGGGTTGATCACTTAACCAGTTTAGTACTTTCCCAAGATGAACCATAGTATGCCGATCTCCCATTCAAAAGATTAAAAAAAAAACGTGTAATCAGCTGTTTTCAAGATTATGAGGGTCAGGTATGGTTCACAGAGTACTGCCTGGCATTGCGAGTGTTGCTGGGACATCAGATATAGACAACCTTATAAAGTCTACGATGGACTATCTCGAAGACAGCAGCGTACACTCACTAAGCTACGCATAGAATATTAGTGCATTATACAAAATGTACAGGATGCAGTTTTGAAGTCAAAACCAGTTTCACGTCACCACCACAAATTGTGCAAGTCACCCAAATCTCACCCATTACTTCCTTTGTTGCACGAAATCTTCAAGTACTGTCCATAGATTTTATTAATTTTATTATAGACAATGGTCTTGTCTTTGACATGATTAGTGATAGAAAAGATTACCAACCATATGAAATGTTAATAATGCAGTGACAATAGCACAGACCTTCAGACATATATTTAACGTTAATATTTGACTAATAGCCTTCTCCACAAATAGAAGCACAGCCAGTTTGATATCTTTCCTTGGTTCTTTTGTAAGATAGCTACACTATCTAATACATTTTATCAAATCTCTCTTTCTCTCTCTCTCTCTCTCTCTCTCTCTCTCTTATTATTATTATTATTGTTGTTGTTGTTGTTGTTGTTATTGTTATTATTATTGCTATCATTACTATTATTAATATCAATACTATTATTATTATCATTGATGTTATCGTTATTGTTACCATCATCATCATCATAATTGATAGTATTATCATTATTTTCATTACTATTATTATTATCATTATGATTAATGTTGTTATTATTCTATTATTGTTATTAGTATTTGTTATTACCATTAATGTTATTGTTATATTGTATATTATTATTATTATTATTATTATTATTATTATAATAACAGTACACAACAGTACACAACATCGTCACGACCCATAGAAACAACGTGACAAACAAACAAACAAACAAATAGCACCAGCACCAATACTTACTTAGACCTCGGTACAAACAAACCGCACTTTCTTTGCCTCCCAGGCCTAAGGCAGCTAATAACAACAGCACAGTATACCTACAACACTTAGAGGTGTAGCATTTTCGTGACGTCTGCTCTAACAGTGACCGGAAAATCAAAAGTGTATCAGAGAACTTGTGAAGCGTATGTGTTGAAACCATGTGAACTGTACCGTAGTGTAAAGTGAAACAGTTGAAGATATATATAAGTGAACACAGAGAATCAAAGTGTATCTGAAGTGATTGCATGTCATTTTATATATCGTAAATGAAGTGTTGTTATGATAGATGGTTCGGTGATTGAGTCATGATTGAGAGATTTCAAGATGTATACTAATTCAGTAAAGCAAGTGCGAAACTGCATTTTTTTATCATTATTAACATTATCATAATTATCATTGATAGTATTATCTTTATAATTGTCATTATTATTATTATTAATATTAATATTATTACTATTATTATTATTATTATTGTTATTATTATTATTATTATTGTTATTATTATTATTATTATTATTATTATTACTATTATTGTTATTATTGTTATTATTATTATTATTGTTGCTGTTGTTGTAATAATATTTTTTATTATTATTATCATAATCATTAACATCATCATCATCATTATTATTATTATTGTCATTATTATTATTATTGTCATTATTATTTTTATTATCATTATTATTATTGTTTTTGTTGTTGTTATTATTAAGGTCTTCATCATCATTAGTATTGTTACTTTATTGTTATTGGTATTGTTACTTTTATGGTAAGTATTATTTTTACTACTATTATTATTGCTATTACTATTGCAACTTCAACTATAATTATCATAATCATCATCATTATCATTATTATCTTCACTAGTATTATCTTTATTGTTGTTATTATTATTATTATTATCACTGCTGTTGTTGTTGTCGTTACTGCTACTTCTACTACTGCTACTATTACTATCATTATCATTATTATTATCATTATTATTGCCATTATAATAATAATTATTATTATTAGTAGAAGTAGTATATATATTATAATCATTATCGTTATTATTATCATTTATTATTATTATTATTATTATTATTATTATTATTATTATTGCGGTTATTAGTAGCATTACTATCATTGTATTATCATTATGATTACCGTGATTGTCATTATTGTTATTCGTCAATCACCATCATCATCATCATCACCATCACCTTCATCCTCTTTGTCATCATAAACTGTCACGATTATTATCCTCTTGACAGCTTGCCAGATTCCCAATGGCGCTTGACACCCTGGAGAAAGCACTGGCAGAAGTCGGGTATGGCAGATGGCAGATCCCCGTGGTAGTCATCACTGTCATGGGTAAGGATGAGTGATGCTGCTCAGTTACTGTTATTATTATTATTCATTACTTTTTTATATCAGTATTTTGTTATTATTACTATTATTATTAGTGATTATTATTATTATTATTAGTGATTATTATTATTATTATTAGTGATTATTATTATTATTATTAGTGATTATTATTATTATTATTAGTGATTATTATTATTATTATCATCATCATCATCTTTGGTTGAAGATGGTGATGTTGATAGTGATGATTAATAATAGCAACAGAATATACATGTGGTAGTGGGTGATGATGAGGGAGAAGAAAGGGAAAAATGATGATAGTGATAGTGATAGAAGTAGATGAATAATGATGGTGACAGCGATCAGTGAGTGATGAAGATGATGAGGGGGAAGGGGTGTATCGATGATAATAGATAGACAGATAGATAAGTAGATGCACTACTGTGGTAAACAATAATGATGATAATAACAACAATAAACATATGATAATAATAGCAACCAGTAAACGACTTAAAAAAAAAAACATAACAACCGATGAAAAATAATGACATAGCAATATGACATGATAATTGTAGTTTAAGTGAATAAACGCATTTCTTTCTTAGACTCTGCGCCCTTGACTAGAAATGGTTGGAATGAAGTAATTTCAAGTCATTTAACCCATTGCCGCCGAGGAAAATGAATAAGAAAATGGGGAAAATGCTGTGCTCATTTTTTATATTTTTTGTGAAATTTCTCTACCCATAGATGGCTCTGCCTTACCTGATTTCACCTTTCCTTGAATTGGCGGGAAAAAAGTATTTTTGACTAGTGCTATGAATGTCGATGGGGTTATTTTTATTTATAAACATTATAATTACTATAATGTTATAAACATTAGTAACAGCAAAATAACGTAAAATATTTTCGTAAATCAAAGAAAAGGGTAAACGGGCGAGACAGGCAGTACTCGTAATTAGCTCATTGGTGATTTAGTACAAGTGTAGCCATCCATGTGAAAAAAAAAACAATTAAACAAGTAAACTCACAGTAGACATGGCATGGACGTACGTGACATGCCAGCCGTGAATGGGTTAAAGTGAATTCTCTTTCTCGACCTTAAACTTAAACCTCCAGTGGATATATTTTGTTTTATTTTGAAGAAGGTGGGATATGAATGGAAAGGAATTAGTGCTGCTGAAATTAATACTACTATGATAGTATTTTTGGGGGATTCTGTTGCTGAAAATTATGCTTAAACGCGAATGTGGTAGTAGTAGTAGTAGTATATATTGGACACTTTTTTTCCTGGACGTTTAGTTAGAGTAAAATTAATACGAATATAAGTATTAGTATCTTATAAGTATTAGTATCTTATAAGTATTAGTATCTTATAAGTATTAGTATCTTATAAGTATTAGTATCTTATAAGTATTAGTATCTTATAAGTATTAGTATCTTATAAGTATTAGTATCTTATAAGTATTAGTATCTTATAAGTATTAGTATCTTATAAGTATTAGTATCTTATAAGCATTAGTATCTTATAAGTATTAGTATCATTATAAGTATTAGTATCTTATAAGTATTAGTATCTTATAAGTATTAGTATCATTATAAGTATTTGTATCTTATAAGTATTAGTATCATTATAAGTATTAGTATCTTATAAGTATTAGTATCATTATAAGTATTAGTATCTTATAAGTATTAGTATCTTATAAGTATTAGTATCTTATAAGTATTAGTATCTTATAAGTATTAGTATCTTATAAGTATTAGTATCTTATAAGTATTAGTATCTTATAAGAATTAGTATCTTATAAGTATTAATATCTTATAAGTATTAGTATCTTATAAGTATTAGTGTCATTATAAGTATTAGTATCTTATAAGTATTAGTATCTTATAAGTATTAGTATCATTATAAGTATTTGTATCTTATAAGTATTAGTATCTTATAAGTATTAGTATCTTATAAGTATTAGTATCTTATAAGTATTAGTATCATTATAAGTATTAGTATCTTATAAGTATTAGTATCTTATAAGTATTAGTATCTTATAAGTATTAGTATCATTATAAGTATTAGTATCTTATAAGTATTAGTATCTTATAAGTATTAGTATCTTATAAGTATTAGTATCTTATAAGTATTAGTATCTTATAAGTATTAGTATCTTATAAGTATTACTATCTTATAAGTATTACTATCTTATAAGTATTAGTATCATTATAAGTATTAGTATCTTATAAGTATTAGTATCTTATAAGTATTAGTATCTTATAAGTATTAGTATCTTATAAGAATTAGTATCTTATAAGTATTAATATCTTATAAGTATTAGTATCTTATAAGTATTAGTATCATTATAAGTATTAGTATCTTATAGGTATTAGTATCCAGTTCATTATATTAATAAACTCGATTTTTCAGTGGTGAATCTATTCCGTTCGAAAAAATACTGTCTTTGATATAAATAAAGAAGAAAAAAATTTGCAGCATCACGGTTTTAAAATCACATACTGAAGGCTTAATTATGAAGTTTACTATTGATATCACAGTTATGAATGATACACAGAAGAGTGATGCGTTTTTATTATGGCAATTAAAGTAAACCATTCTAATATCAAAGTGTTAAATCAGACCTCGTTTAACATTGTAATTGCTAATGGGCGTGGATTTATTGTTGTTGTTGTTATTATCATTATCATTATTATCATCATTGTCGTTATTATCATCATTATCATTATTATCATTGTTGTCGTTATTATAACTATTATTATTATCATTATTGTTACTGTTGTTATTATTAGTAGTATTAGTAGTAGTACTGACATTAATATTATTATTATCATTATTATTAATATTATTATTATCATTATTATTAATATTATTATTATCATTAATATTATGAGACAAAAAAACTAAACCACTTTTATCCTAAATCACAAATCATTTTTTTTTTATTACCGCGATGTCACAGAAAACGGAGAACGCGATGCTGGGTTACTTTAGCGATGCCATAACCTTGAAATGGCATCATCACGACTCGGTGCCACGGAGTCTGAGTGCCAGAGTGCCAAGGCGTCTCCTAAGTGCTAGTGAGGGACATGTCTCTCATTTACAGAGTTTTTTTTTTAAGGAATAGTTCTCGGAATACGGATCGGAGTTGCTAGAGATCACTTTTTTTTCCTCCGGAATTTAATAGTGATATTTCATTTATTTACGTTACTTTTTCTTTTCTCTCTGTGTGTGTAGGAAAGCTCTCAAAACAAACTTATTTAGGAGAAAGGAGAAAATAGATTTGTTCTATGGTTTGAACAATCTGACCGACGTAAATAAAATCATAATAAAAAACATTCGTTGGTAACTACGCATTATATAATACTCAGGACAATGCTATGAAACGTAAGATTAATTCTAATGTGAAAATTACAATGCGGATAATTTGCTTTATCGCCCATATTATGTCAGCAAATATGAGTTTAATCTTGTACATATGACATGACAAAATATAATGCATGTAAATTGCAAATTCAATCTAGAAGTTTCAATATTATTATATAACACGAGAAGAATCCCATAAAAAAAAAAATGGAATATAGATCTCATAACACAAAGCACACGTTATCAAAAGCTTCACCTAATCACCATAAACCTCATACCATCGCATCACAACACCATACTCTTTATTTAACATTAAAATGGCGTCCTTTGCCCCCCCCCCTCCACAGTGCACATGCTGGCCCCCGTGCATTTAATCGGCTCGACTTTACTGAATGCCCAGCCTCCTTTTCGGTGTAGGGCTGTCAGTCAGGTCGTCAACTTCACAACTTCGACTACGAACTTCGTGTTAAGGTAGGTTGAGGGTTAAGAGTTATTCTCCTCCTCTTCTTTCTCTGTCTCTACGTCTGTTTGTCCGGTTCTGTCTTTTTGAATTTGTCTATTTTTTTTCTCTCTCTCTGTCTCTCTGTCTGTCTGTCTCCCCCCCCCCCCTCTCTCTCTCTCTCTCTCTCTCTCTCTCTCTCTCTCTTTCTATATATATATATATATATATATATATATATATATATATATATATATTTATATATATATATATATATATATATATGTATATAAATATAAATATATATATATATATATATATATATATATATATATATATATATATATATATGTATATGTATATGTATATATACATTCACACTGAATATGCCTGCCCTCGCTATCTCCAAACCTATCTACCTTTTTTATTCTTCTACCAAATCATTTTTTTTTTCTGCTAATATCATCCGTTTGTCACAGTGACCCTTTCCTTTTCAGTGTTTATTGTTTCGCCTTTGCTGATAACGATGAAGAATATTGCGATTGGCAGATATTCAAGTGTTTGTTACCCTGAGAGAGTCTGTTTAAAAGTTGATTTAAGCTCAAATTTGAGGGCCTTTTAAGGGAAGAAAAATGTGATTGTGACATTTTAATTTTTCTAAGATTATGAATAGCTTAATTAATGATTTTAATTTTTAATTAGGTACTGCTAACGGAAAATGTATAGTCATTAATAATTTTCATCTCTCTCGAACGGTGACAAAACACTAATACACGGATAATATTTTACTTTAAAGAATATGTAACAATAGCGATAACAAATATATCTATATTTTTTTCCTTTTTTTACCGAATATGTAAATAGATCAATATATAAAGCAAGAGGAAGAATTTTCTTTAAATACCCCCTAAACCCAACGGATAATTTTCCGCCATTTTTTTCCCCCAAACTAGAAGGTAACTTTGCCCCGAAACAGCTTTTGTTTTTATTCATTATTATCATCTCTATTATTTATTATATTATTTATTAATTTATTTATTCCTTTTATTTATTTATTTTCTATTTATCCGTGTAATTGTGTAATCTTTATATTATATTTCTCAAGGCCAGAAGAGAACTTTGTCCCGAAACAGCTTTTTTTTTATTATTATCATCTCTATTATCTATTTTTCTTTTCATTTATTTATTTTTTCGTTTTATTTATCATCATTTATTTATCAGTGTAACTGTGTAATCGTTAAATTATATTTCTCAAGGCCAGTGGAGAACTTTGTCCCGAATAGCACGGAACTCGAGGATTTCTACAACAACGAATGCCGCGCTGCCACTTCCTCCTCCTCCACCTCCTCCTCTTCCACCTACTCCACTTCTTCCTCCACCTCCTCCTCCACCTCCTCCTCTTCCACCTACTCCACTTCTTCCTCCACCTCCTCCTCCACCTCTCCTATCCCTGAGTGGAAGTCGACAGGACTTGCTTCATGCCCGGAGATCCTACAGGACGAGTCGACATTTTCATCTACTGTTTCTATGGAGGTGAGGAAGGGAGAAGGGAGTTGAAATGGCGGGGGAGGGAGGGAGGGAGGGAGGGAGGGAGGGAGGGAGGGAGGGAAGGAGGGAGGGGGGGGAGGGGGAGAGGGAAAGAGGGAAGGAGGGAGGGGGAGAGGGAAGGAGGGAAAGAGGGAGGGAGGGAAGGAGGGAGGGGGAGAGGTAAAGGAGGGAAGGAGGGAGGGAGGAGGGAAGGAGGGAAGGAGGGAGGGGGAGAGGTAAAGGAGGGAGGGAGGAGGGAAGGAGGGAGGGGGGGAGGGAAGGAGGGAGGAGGGAGGGAAAGAGGGAAGGAGGGAGGAGGGAGGGAAAGAGGGAAGGAGGGAGGGGGGGAGGGAAGGAGGGAGGAGGGAGGGAGAGAGACAAAGACAAACTGACGAAAAAGAACCAACAAGATAGACAAACAACGAAACAAACAAACAAACAAACACATGCAGTAAGAAGGAAATGCTTAAAAAAATATGATAAATAAAGGAAAAATATATAAATAGAGAAAAAAAGAAGTTAAGAAAATATATATTTCAAGGTGAAGAGCACCTGATAAGCCATATCTTATCGGCAAACTTTCCCAGCTTTTATCGACAAGGACCTTTCAGTAAAATAAACATTATCAACACCAAGATCAATATTAAACATCGAGATTTTTGCAACATTGGAAATCTTGTGCAACACTACATGGAAAGCATCGTTAATTATTGTTAATGCTATTGTTAATGTTAATGAAAATATATGCTCTGTTGTTGCCAAGAATTGCTTCGGTATTTAATTAACGTAATGATAATGACATGGTAATAGTAATTATAGTAAGAACGATAATGATCATGATGATAATGATGAAGATAATTATGATTGCAACAGTAAGGATAATGAAAATAATGGTACTGAGAAAAATTATGATAACGATAATAATAATTCTAATAATAATGATACTGATGATGAAAATAATAATAATAACAATTAGTTTAGTAAGAGTAGTAATAATGATAATGGTGATAATAGTAATAATATTATTATTGTTATTATTTTTTTGTAGTATTATAATGTCAATAATGATAATAATGATGATAATAATTTTAATAATAATAATACTGATGCTGAAAATAATAATAACAATTATATTTGTAAGGTTAATTATAATGATAATGATGATAATAGTAATATTATCATTATTATTGACATTAGTAGTAGTAGTATTATAATGATAATAATAATAAAAATGATGGTGATAATAATAGTAATTATAATAACAATAATAATCGTAATAATGATAATGATGAAAGTAATAATGATAATAGTGTTAATGATAATATCAATAATAATAATGATAATGATAACAATTATAATGATGATGATGATGAAAATCCTAATAATAAGATTGTTGATGATAATTATAATCATGATAATGATAATAATAAGAATAGTAACAACAACAACAGCAATGTCAATAACAACGACAGTAACAAGATCAATAATAAAAACGTATACATAATAATTTGTTTTTTCATTGTTTTTATGACCAATAATCGAGCACAAGACTGGCATTCACCGCCAATTAATTATTCACTTTTCTATTATTATTCAGTGGCAGCTGGTGTGTGAGCGGAGCTGGCTGAGACCGTTTTTCCAGATGGCTTATTCAGTTGGTTCAATGGTGGGAAGCACAGGTGGTGGCCATGTGAGTGACAGGTGGGTGTCTTTGTTTGTTTGTTTGTATTTCTGTTTCTCTGTCTGTCTGCATGGCTGTATGTTTATCTGTCTCTGTTTGACTCTCTCTCTGGTTCTCTTCGTTCTCTTTCTTTCTGTCTGTCTGTCTGTCTCTGTCTCTCTCTCTCTCTCTCTCTCTCTCTCTCTCTCTCTCTCTCTCTCTCTCTCTCTCTCTCTCTCTCTCTCTCTCTCTCTCTCTCTCTCTCTTCTCTCTCTTCTCTCTCTCTCTCTCTCTCTCTCTCTCTCTCTCTCTCTCTCTCTCTCTCTGTTTTGCTCCGTTTTTTTTTTTCTTTTCTTTTCTTTTGAAGTGCATAGTTTGTGTAACGGATTTGGGAAAATCTTCTCAATTCCTTTTTTGTTTAACTTCAATCTTTCTAAAAAAGAAATAATTAAACAAATAAATAAATAAAAGAAAAAAAAGGTTTTGTTTTTGTTTTCTTATTTTTTCATCGCCTTTTCAAATTGTGTCTTTACGCTCATCATTTTGGTAAAAAATCTTTAACGAACTTTCATCCCTTTTCACTCCCCTCCCCTCCGCCTCCTCCCTCCTCCTCCCCCCTCCTCCCCTTCCTCCTCCTCCTCCTCCTCCTCCTCCTCCTCCTCCTCCTCCTCCTCCTCCTCCTCCTCCTCCTCCTCCTCCTCCTCCTCCTCCTCCTCCTCCTCCTCCTCCTCCTCCTCATCCTCATCCTCATCCTCCTCCTCCCTCCTCCTCCTCCTCCTCCTCCTCCTCCTCCTCCCCTTCCTCCTCCTCCTCCCCTTCCTCCTCCTCCTCCTCCTCCTCCTCCTCCTCCTCCTCCTCCTCCTCCCTCCTCCTCCTCCTCCTCCTCCTCCTCCTCCTCCCCTTCCTCCTCCTCCCCTTCCTCCTCCTCCCCTTCCTCCTCCTCCACCTCCTCCTCCCTCCTTCAGGTACGGACGCAAGAGAGCCATCCAGATAGCGTGTGGCTTCAACCTGGCAGCGATCGTGGGCATGGCGTTCCTGCCTTGGTATTCGGGCGTGTTGGCTGCCAGGGTTCTCTCGGGCTGTTCCATCGGCTGCATGATTTTACCGGTCTTTAGCCTCGGTGCGTGGGTTTGTGTTTTGCCTTTCTATTGGTCGTTTTTCTGGAAGGGGTGAGGGTGGGTGGGTGGGGGGGGGGAGTGAGTAGTTAGAAGGGGGAGGAGGTGGGGGGGAGGAGGGGGAGGTTGTGAATGGGGGATAGGAAGAGGGAGAGGGAAGGGGAAGGGGGGAGGGGAAGAGGAGGGGAGGGGGGAGGGAGTAGTCAGAAATGTGAGGAGGAGGTGGTGGAGGAGGGGGAGGTGGTTGTGGAGGGGGGGATGGGAGAGGGAGGGGGAAGGGGAGAGGAGGGGTGGTGAAGGGGGAGGTGGTGGAGGGAGGAAGGGGAGGGGGGAGCAGTCAGTAGGGTGAGGAGGAGGTGGTGGAGGAGGGGGAGGTGGTTGTGGAGGGGGGAATGGGAGAGGGAGGGGGAAGGGGAGAGGAGGGGAGGTGAAAGGGGAGGTGGTGGAAAGGGGAAGGGGGAGGGGGAGGGGTTGGAAAGGGAAAGGGGGAGGGGGAGGTGGTGGAAGGGGAGAGGGGGAAGGGAAAGGGGAGGTGGAGGTGGTGGAAGGGGGAAGGGGAGGGGAGGTGGAGGTGGTGGAAGGGGGAGTTGATGGAAAAGGAGAGTGAGATAGAATAGGGGGACATGTAGGTGAAAATAGAGAATGAGGAAGAGGAGGAGGAGGAGGAAGAGAAGAGAAAAGAGGGAGAAGAGTAGGAGGAAGAGAGATGATCTGTTAATGATAAAGTCGAATTTTTTTTCACGAATTCTTTGATGTCATGATAGAAAGTTGGCGTCGGGATAGCCACTGTTCATGTACACAACCGGTAACCTTTCTTTTCAAAATCAACCAGCATTTATTTATTTACTTTTATATTTCATTTATTTACTTATTTATTCACTTATTTATTTATTTTAGAAAAAAAAATCCATCCTTCACAAAACTACCATGAAGAAAATAAAGATCATACGATATATTCGTCACCCAACCTACAAGCACTATCCATAAACCTATGACGTAAGACCGCCCCCCATATAAGGACCACACCCACTACAACGCCCTCCGCCTTCTTCTCCCCCCTCCCTCCCTCCCCCCTGCAGCGTTAGAGACGACGCCCTCTCGACACAGGACGCTGGCGGGGATGCTCCTGGGAACGTCCTTCAGCGTGGCGGTGGTTCTGTTCGCCGGCGTCGGCTTCTTCGTCAGGACGTGGCGGTGCCTCCTCCTGGCTGGCTCGGTGCCGCTCCTCGCCGTGCTGCCCCTGGCCTTGTGAGGATCTTCTTGTGTGTGTGTGTGAATGAGAAAGACAAAGACAAAGAGAGAAAGTGAAAAATAGAAAGACAAATAAATATCTCGAACAATTACCCGCTCAAACTGACCCCTATGTTATCTCCCCACCCCCACCCCCACCCTACGCCACCCCACCCCCCCTTATGACGCAACTCCCCCACCCTCCAGTCTAGTGCCCGAGTCTCCGCGATGGCTGAGTCAGCAAGGCCGCGGTCACGAGGCGGCGGTCATCTTAGGTCACGCCGCCTCCAGGAACCGCGTCCAGCTCTCGCCCGCCCTGACCTCCGCTCTCCGTGACCTGCAGGAGGAGGTAAGTAGGTCAGGTTCTTTCTAAACTGTATTAAACTGTATTAGGTTGGAAATTGTATAATTTTGAAGCGAATATATTGGGTGATTTTTTTTTCTCGATTCTAAGGATGATAAAAAAAGATATCAAAGCGGCGTTAGATCTCGTATTAATAACGAACTTGATGAAACGAACGTATTAGGTTAATATTTGAAATACATTTTTTTTCAACTCAGTAACTCTATACACGAAAAAATATAAATAAAACGTCATTAAATATCGTCATGAATAACGAATCTAATGAACATCATGCCACAACGATGAATAAAAAAAATCCTATAAATAAACACAAAGAAACGAGAAAAGCAAAAAAAAACAACAATTTTCAGAATATATTATAAACACAACCATTTTCTCTCCCTCAACGCTCAGTCCCAGGTCAAAGAGAAGCCGCAGAGGTCACAAGCAACTGACATGACCTGGGGAGAGCGAGCGCGGGCGAAAATCCACCAGGTAACCATGTATTTACGTTTCCCTTCGTTAAGGCGTATTATCGTGGCCACTACAGGTATATGGTACCTGCAGGGAATCCTATACCTGGGGATCATCCTCAACGCTAATAATTTCACGAGGTTTGTTTCTCTTTAAATGGCTGTGGTAGTTTCTTTAATATTTATTTATTTATTTATTTATTTATTTATTTATTTATTTATTTATTTAGAGAGAGAGAGAGAGAGAGAGAGAGAGAGAGAGAGAGAGAGAGAGAAAGAGAAATTTTATTTATATATTTTAAAAATTATTTTCGTTTTTTTTTCTCTCTATCTCTCTATCTCTTTGATAGGGATAATGGTAATTGTAATATATACTGGATATACTGAAGATAGTTTGAATATTATAATATTGGAATAATGACCAAAAGAAAATGTTGATGATGATACTAACGATGATAATAGTTAATGACAACAAGAAACTCGTTTTTATAGTTCCAATATGATATAGCATTATCATTAAAAAATATATAACTATCTCGATCAACATAAATTCTAGACCAAAAATTAAATCAGACAGAGAGAGACCGCGGTGCAAAGTAATTTTAACCCCTAAAATTGAACCAGACAGAGAGAGACCGCGGGACAAAGTAATTTAACCCCTAAAATTGAACCAGACAGAGAGAGACCACAGGACAAAGTAATTTAACCCCTAAAATTGAACCAGACAGAGAGAGACCGCGGGACAAAGTAATTTAACCCCTAAAATTGAACCAGACAGAGAGAGACCGCGGGACAAAGTCATTTTAACCCCTCGCTCACCAACATTCATCACCCCCCCCCCCCTCCTTCAGCAACGACCCTTATATCTACGTGGCCATGTCCGGGGCAATGGACCTGATGGCCATCCTTCTCGCCACGCCCCTGAACATGCGAATGGGGCGTCGTTTTATCGTGGGCGGCGCTATGCTCGTGGCGGGCGTCCTCCTCCTGGTGGATCTGGCAGTTCCTGAGGGTGAGGAGCGAAGTTTTCTGTTTTTTTTTGTTTTGTTTTGTTTTTTTCTTATATTTGCTTATTTTATTTATTTTTTGTTTTATTATTGTTTGGTGTTGGGCGATCGCTACTTAAAAAAAAAAAAATCGGTGAGATAAGTGATTCTGTTTTTAATTTTTTCTTTGATAGGTATGAATTTACGAAAAACTACATATTTCCGTGATTATTTACATGCTTATTCAGTAGAAAAAAAAATCGTGATGAAAAAATAATGTAATTGGCTTGAATACTTATGATTTATGATTTATATGTTATGATTTATTGTCAAAAAATAATGGGTATACTTAAGATCTTTTTAATAATGGTATATTGTTTTAATCATTTGTTATTAATGATTAAAAAATGTCATTTCTTTTACATTACCATAAAACTTCAAGCAAATCCTGTTATTATCACCGCAGATTTTTCCCATTACAACTTAATTGATAGTGCTCTTGTTATTATCACCGTAGTTGTTAGGATTCTCCATTACAGTGTCATGAATTTTACTGTTATTAATTATTTTTTTCTCCGGAATTATGCAAATTTCCCTCTTACATTATGCAGAATTCTGGTGGATAAGGTGGATCCTCGTGATGACGTCATTGCTTCTTATTGCTGCCGCTTTCCAGGTCAGTCGAAACATGGGGGGGGGGGGGAGAGAATGAGGGAGGGAGGGAGGAGAGAGAGAGAGAGAGAGAGAGAGAGAGAGAGAGAGAGAGAGAGAGAGAGAGAGAAGGGAGAGAGAGAGAGAGAGAGAGAGAGAGAGAGAGAGAGAGGAGAGAGAGAGAGAAGGGGAGAGAGAGAGAGAGAGGAGAGAGAGAGAGAGAGAGAGAGAGAGAGGGGGGAGAGAGAGAGAGAGAGAGAGAGAGAGAGAGAGAGAGAGAGAGAGAGAGAGAGGGGGGGGGAGAGAGAGAGAGAGAGAGAGAGAGAGAGAGAGAGAGAGAGAGAGAGAGAGAGAGACAGAGAGAGAGAGAGAGAGAGAGGGGGGAGAGAGGAGAGAGAGACAGAAGAGAGAGACAAGAGAGAGAGAGAGAGAGAGAGAGAGTGAGAGAGAGAGAGAGAGAGAGAGAGAGAGAGAGAGAGAGAGAGAAGAGAGAAGAGAGAGAGAGAAAGAGAGAAGAGAGAAAAAAAAGAGTGAGAAAGCGAGAGAGAGAGAACGAAAGAAAGAAAGAAAGAGAGAGAGAGAGAGAAGAGAGAGAATGTTACCTCAAAGCTCGCCTCTTCGCGCAGGTCAACTTCATGTACGTGCCTGAGCTGTACCCAACCGTGATCAGGTCCCGTGGCTTCGCGCTGGCTAGTCTCGCCGGTAGTTTTGGCTTCCTGACGGCGCCCTTCATCACGGACGTTCTGGTGAGTGGACGGCGTGTTGATTTGCTCTCTTTCTGTTTATCTGTCTTTCTGCTGTACGTGTACTTCTTGTTTGTCTTTTTTTTTTTTTTTTAATTGTCTTTTTTCTCGTTTTTTTCTGTTCTATTTTTTTCTTTTTTTTCCCCCTTTTCTTTATTCTCTCTCTCTCTTTCTTTCTCTCTCACTCTCACTCTCTCTCTCTCTCTCTCTGAAGGAATTCACCGAGATTACCAAAAAACATATCAGTAGGTATCAATCCTCTTTGCAAAGATCAATCTATGGATTTTATTCATTCTCCCTCTGCATCTCCACATTCGGTCATCCATTCCACGCGAATCGGAGGTACGTATAACCTGCCTTCCTTCCCGACGCAGGCGCAGAAGACGTGGTGGGCGGTCGGCGCCACTTTCGGCTCGGCGGGAATCCTGGGGAGTCTCCTGGTGCCCCTCTTGCCCGAAACGAACAACATGCCTCTTCCGGACACGGTCGAGGACGTCGAAAGGAGGGGGAAGGGCATCGTGGCGGCCAAGAAGGGCGAGGCGAGTCAGGAAGAGCAAGGGCGCGAAGCTGAGGAAATGCCCGCCATTGGTCCAGCTGAGGAGGCTTAATTTAAAGCTCTCGGCGTCGGTGGCATCAGCTGATCGTGGCGTCGGTGATATCAGCTGATCGCGGCGTCGGTGTTATCAGTCGATCGTGGCGTTGGAGGCGTCAGCTGATCGTGGCGTCGGTTTTATCAGCTGATCGTAGCGTCGGTGGCATCAGCTGATCGTAGCGTCGGTGGCGTCAGCTGATTGTGGCGTCGGATCGGCAACTTGGTGGCCGCTATGGAGAAATACGTCGGCTGTCAACTTAGTAAACTGTGATGTTTATTTTTAATCTGACTGATAGGTATTTTGTTATATCTGGTTCATAAATAAAGTCCAATTGCTTTATGTGTATGAAAAAAAAAATCCTATGAGCTAGCATATGTGTGATATTTAAATAAGAATAAAGATAATTGAACTACGTATATGTAAGAGTTCGAAACCTCACGACTAAAGTATTTATTATGGCTGTTGAATGTCTATGCTTACAAACGTAGACACATGCACTATCTCTCTCCCTCTCTCTTTGTATATATATATATATATATATATATATATATATATATATATATATATATATATACATACATACATATCCTATACTCAGTAGGAACTAGATTTTTTCCTTCAGAAAATACTGTCTTGGCTAACTTTTGACTCATTCTAAACAAGCCCCATCTGTCAAGTAGTAGTTATCTGCTGTATACAGGCAATTTCTGTTCACAATATAGTTCAAAGACTAGGAAGAGACACACTGAGACAGTCGACTAGTGAAATCCTTACTTGACAATACATCCAGAAGGAATGATTTTACTCGTGTAGCTGAAAACATAATCAAAACAAAACAGATACGCGTGTTTATGGCCATAACTATAAATTCTTAATTGTGTAGTTAACTATTACTCATGAAGAGAATATAAAATAAGAATACACACACACACATATGTGTGAGTTTGTGTGTGCGCGCGCGTGCATATATATATATATATATATATATATATATATATATATATATATATATATATATATATATATATGTATGTATAATAAAAAAATAAAGATAAAATACGAGGAACAAATTAACGGATGAAGTGGTCCATCAGTATCTACATTGTCTCTTTACATAAA